CGTTCGTGTCTCCCGAGGCAGATGAAGCTCCGTCTCATCTATGTCCGGGGGCGGTATGCCTACGTCTAGAGTCTACATAACTCGAGACTGACTCCCTGTGAATGCCGTTCAGGGCCAGTCGGTAAGCTGACGGGTCCAGAGGTTGCTTGATGAACCTCTGGACTTCGTCCGTCAGTTCATATAGATGCCTCCTGACGTGCCTAGGCGAGCGCTCTGCAAGCAGCTGTCTGTTTGGGTGGCCACTTCTGTGGCTCCCGATCAGGAACTGCTTTCAGAGCATTATGTTGTGCTCCTTTACGGGGAGCATTTGCGCCTCGCCGTGGAGATGATGTTCGGGCGACATTAGAAGGCATCCTGTCGCTGTCCTGAGTGCGGTGTTCTGTACAGTCTGTAGCTTCGTCCACTGCGTCCTACTAGCCCCCGGCGACCACACTGGCGCTCCGTAGTTTAAAACACAATAGCCCAACTTCGCTCTGGCTACTGCAGCAGGTTAAACTCCTACCAGAGTAATTGAATGAGGATGTGCCAAATGAGTGTCCGGCATGCGGAGAGACCCCACATGACTTGAAACATCTCTTCGCGTGCCCGGAAAACCCGACAACCCTAACGGCNCTTCGCGTGCCCGGAAAACCCGACAACCCTAACGGCTTTGTCCCTGTGGACCAACCCTACAGAAGCTGCACGCTTCCTAGGGCTGCCGTTAGTGGAACTTGACGACAACGACTGAGATACCAACCGTCCTGGGCGGGGTTGTTGTAGCCGCTACAACAACAACGACCTAGAAACAACAAGGAGCGATGGCGGTTCCAATGGAAAGGGCACCGCATGCTCGCCACACACATACAGCCCTGTTCTGCAATCCGAGTCGGAATCGCATTCGAATCGGAATTCAATTCCGACTCGGAATTGCAATGGTGTTCCACAATCCGATCGGAACTTTTGTTTCGAAGTTAATATCGAATCCGACTGTGTAAAAAAAGGAACAAACCTCCAATCTGTCAACTTTGTTTTGAAGTGTGTCAATTTCATTTGGATAAATAAAACCGAGAAAATAAACATGAGTTCAATTGTTTTATTGGAGGTATGCCTGAATAATCTGAAACATCTGAAAAAGTGAAGCGAAAAATTTTGCGTGATCACAGCAATCCCATGGAGTTACCGGACTCAGCGTTAGTAGTATAAAAACAACACTATACTAACGCCATTTAAAATTATTAATTTATATTTTACAGCTTTATTGCACTCTATAGAATAAATAAACAAGCGTTCCTCATGATTTTGACAGACTTGCAGCCTTTTGTACAAAGCTCCATTCCCGCAGTGTTGAAATTGGCAGCAACGCTGCGATTCCTTGCTGAAGCCTCGCTTTGGGAAGGAGCACCGTCTCCAAGATAATTTCAGAAATAATTACGCTCATGGAGCGGAGACTTTGCTCAAAGTGGATAAAATGGTTCATGCCTTAGCAAGAAAAAAGAGCCGCCAAAAGTTCTTTCTACGAACAATTTGGTATTCCGGGTGTGATTGGATGTATTGACGGCACGCACATCAAGCTATTGCAACCACAAGATGGGTCTGCTTTTTTAACCGAAAAGGAAATTTTAGCATTAATGCAATGGTTGTTATTTCCCACAATTACTGGATTTTATATGGAAAAAAGTTTTCGTAAAATTTGTTTCTTATTTATTTCAGATTTGCGATCATAATATGGTTATTAGAGCTATTGATGCTTGTCATCCCGGTTCTAGCTATGACTCCTTTATATGGAGCATGAGCAATGCAAGACAGTTAGTCATGACGAAGTATCGAGATGGTGATCACAATTCGTGGTTATTGGGCGATGCCGGGTATGCTCTGGGACCTTTTCTATTAACATCATGTAGAAAACCAGAACCACGGTCTATACAACTCGCGTTTAACAAAACACATTCTTCGGCACGTAATATAATTGAACGAACAATTGGGGTTCTTAAAACTCGTTTTCGTTGTTTATTAGGAACCTTGCAGTACAAACCAAAAAAGGTTGTGAAAATAATTAATGTATGTGTTGTCTTGCATAATATTTGTCGCCACTATAATCTTGAATATGACTATGATGAACCTGAAGAAAATGCCAGCGAAGTAGATAGTGAAGTAGATAGATTTGTACTAACAGACATTAACTTGCAAAGTGAAGCACAAAGAATTAGAGACGAAATTGCGAATAATATTATATAATATTTTAATAAAAACAAGTATATTTAATAAAAACCAGTACTGTAATTATAAATAAACAATTTTCACAAAAAAAAACTCATTTTAAGACCTCAAGAGCCACTTTGTCTCCTTTGAAGAAGCCTTTGGCTATGTCTGGATTTACTTCCATGAAATCCAACATATTTTTGCTTTGCTCCGCCGTCTTATGCGTTCCCCTGCATTTTAATAATTTTAATTGTAGTAATTACCACTTTTATTTTCTCTACTTAAATTCTTTGCTGTTCGCTGACTATAAAATTTTTCCTTTGACCGTTAACAGTTATATTTTCCTTTTTCGTTTTGATTATTTTCTATTCCACTGGCTTTTAGCTGATCGGAACATTTCCGATAAAAAATTTCCGATAATCGGAATGCAAAACATCAAATTTCCGATAGAATTCCGATTCGAAGTTGATCGAAATGTAGAACAAGGCGGTCTCGGAATGCAGAACACCAACAATCGGAAACAAATCCGATTCCGATTCGAATCGGATTGCAGAACAGGGCTGATAGATGCGAACCACGCCATCGTCCGGTCAAAGGGGAGGACCAAAGTCATGGAGTATATAGACTGAAACCACCATCAACACGAACCACGTTTTTCCTTTCATTTACCACTTCTTGTAATAATACCAAAAAAAAAAAAAAAAAGCTTTTGAATTCTCATTATAAAATCAAACACTATATCTATTACAATTCTCATATCATTATAAAATCAAAACTTTGTACCTACTTATAAGCACATATATACTTATTACAAAAAAAAAAAAAAAAAAATAAAATATATTTTATTTTATAATAAACTAGCAGACCCGGCAAACGTCGTCCCGCCCAAAATTTGATTTTTAATTCAACCCTTTTGACCCAATATTTTCTCCAACAGTCCACGTTTACGATTTCCATTGGCACAATTATCGGCTAAGATTATAGTTTGGTGGTCGTTGCCGCCTTAAATAACCTAACGAAAGCGTTATGTACGTGAAGAAGTTCCCTGGCGGCAACAATGATCCGCATCTATACTGAATCTGCCCTAAAAACTTTGTCTTATAGTTGGTGGCAATTTCAAAATGGATGCGTATCCTTGTTCAATAGAAATACAATATACATACATAGACTGAGATGAAGCACCCTAAAACACAGCTTCATGAAAGCAATTTAAGTGAAAAATTATGTTTCTCTCAGGTTCTATATTAAATTCAATTAAAAAAATAAATTTTCATTAAATTGCTTTTATTATGGTATTTCGACAGGTGGTGATTTGAGATTTACCACTGCACAACTCAACCCTGATGTGTCGGTATGAAGCTTTAACGCATAATAATATTGGTAAATCACATCCATTGGGCGAATCGTAACACACGAGAGTTCGATATACTCAATGGTGCAAGAGGTCGATTTAGACTGAAATTCTCGGCACTTTTTCTCACTTGTCGATTTTAGTAATAACTCGACCTCAGCAATTGGACTTGTTTTGCAATTGGATCGGATCATAAAAAAGGATTTTTAGTAATAACTCAACTCCAGCACCAACTGGCGTGTTCATTGTGAAACTAAACTATCCAGAGACCCACTCAAACACACACACACATAACATTGTTGAAATCCCTCCAGCCATTCAGGATTTCACTCACAAACATACCTACAGAAAAATTATATACACATTCAAAGATAAGGCAAAGGCAGTACGTTTGTACTTCGCCATGCCCACTTTTCAAAGAGCCCATTTTTCTCCATAGTATGGGATTGATTTCATATATCTCCATACGAAGTTCCAGTACTGTACCATGAACACTTCCAGAGATATGCAGTATCATATAGCTCCATATTTTCTCCATGACTATGCGATTAATTTCATATATCTCCACACCAAGTTCCAGTACTCTACCAAGAACAATTCTAGAGGTATGCAATAAGAAAAATTCGACTTGTATGGGAGGTGCCAAGCCGGTATAAAGTTCCAGTACTCTACCATAAACACTTCCATTGATACTTATTATGAAAAATTCAGTTCATATGGGAGGTGCCACGCCCCCTTTTTAAATAGTCCGAATTTTTATTCATGAGTATGTGATTGATTTCATATATCTCCAAACCAAGTTCCAGTACTCAACCATGAACATTTCCCGAGATATCTATATATATATAAAAACTAAATGTTTTCCGTATGACGGCGATGCCTGACCAAACGACTGAACCGATTTCAATTCTGTAAAAATTGCTTTTTTGGACCTTCTGTGTGGAAGGTTTTTCGATTTAAAAAATTCAAAACTTTTGGCTGTTGCCAAAAAATTAAGAAAGTTGAGATGGCACAATTTCACAATTCCATAGAGTTTTCCGTATACAATGATAATCGACCATCCCTGTTCCTAAGGAAAAAAAAAATTCTTGTTTTTATTAAATTCCAATCCTTCTTATCATATTTACTCACCTTCTAAACCTTTCCTGGACTTCCACAAATAATTCAAGACCAAAATTTGCCAAATCGGTCCAGCCGTTCTCGAGTTTTAGCGAGACTAACGAACAGCAATTCATTTTTATATATGTATATAGATATGAACTGAAATGTAATATTTATTTTTATTTTGTTATTACTTAATATGACCTTACGCACATAAATGAAATATGCACTTTTGAAAAAATACATGCACATTTTTGAACGATGTAATATCAATATCTTTTATTCAAATAAAAAATAGTGACTATTNAGCCTCGACATCACCCTAGCATACGCCTTACAACTGCACATAAGTACCAGTATATGAACATACATACATACATACTGGTAGACACAAACTAACATTCCAACGCAGCTTCGCCAACGCTACAATAACATACTCGACATTACCCTAGCATACGCCTTACAACTGCACAAGAGTACCAATATATGAGCATACATACATACATACTGGTAGACGTACACACAACATACCAACAAGACTAAAAGCACCCCTATGTACATACATACATGCATACATACGCATACACGAAGCTGGTATGGTAAGCAAATACAAATTTCGTAAACAGCAACTTGGATAATCATGCGCACCAACAGATGGAAGAAGTTCGCTACACAAAACACATAACGCGGAATAAGCTCATTTACTTCTCAAATGGTTCATACAAAACCAGAGCTAAAGCTGTTAGCATGAAATCAACTAGCATCAGTTGTCCGTGGGTAAGCACGGAGCGCATCCTGGGCTTCGGGCCTATTTGGGGCGCTCTTGGCATTCCTCCTCGAAGGAAGACAGATTGGTTGAAGGGGGCTGAAAGGGGGGGAATACCCCTCAGGCAACACCCCAGAACCACTATTGGCTAGACCCATTTTTGGTTACGGTCTCAAGCAGATAGGGGGCGTGGTCCGTTTGGGCTTCCCCAATTCCGAGCACCCCTGCCCAGCGTTGCCAGTTTAGCCGTTTTCCGGCTAGATTTAGCCGGTTTTGATAGCAACTAGCCGGAGAAAATTCGATCTGGCCGGCAGCCGATTTGTTAGCCGGTTTGTAAAAAAAAGATAGCCGTTTTTAGCCGATTTTACTATTTGCCTAATTTTCAGGTGCAAAAGTAAACAAGTTGTAATGCAGACCCAATGAAGATTTTTAATGAACTCAATGTTTTACTTTCGCATCTATGCTCCCTAGTGGTTATTAGCGCGGACACATTTGATCCTATATGCTCCCCGTTGGAACCATACCTTGCTCCATTTCCTCAGTTTTATCACAGTTTTGAAGAGTATTTAAAAACAAAAGTAAGCACAAACGCTTTTGACCACGAAGCCGAGAAAATAATTCGAGAAAATGGTCGCTATTTTATTATCACTTTAATAAAGGAATTACGCCA